GGGATTCAAATCAAAGAATTCAAAAGATTCTTTTTTTTCTAGTGACCGAAAGCTGTTGAATGGAATTAAAAAAAGGTTTGCCTTGAACGACGAGAGCAAAATATTATTAGCACTAGACAAAAGGATGGATCGATTTTGGAAGAAAATATGTAGTAATGCGAAATCGATAGGGCATATCAGAAGAATGGAAAATCAAATAAAATTTTTCTTAGGACTTTTTGCCAATCGACTCAATGGGAGAATTTTATTGATTAAAGAGAGAATTTGAAGATGAATGCGATAGACAGCACACGCAAACTCATACTAGTTTTTCTAAAGCCTTTCAATTCATTTGGCCGAGAACATTTTGGAACTAGTGCATTTTTTTGTTCACTTACATTTTACGGTCGTTAAAATGATTTCAAAAATGAATAATGTTCTGTTTTCGTGCGCTCTTACAAAAATCTAAATTTTAAATTACCCGAATATTTGTCGAAAGACAAAAAAATCATTATTTTGCCATAAATCTGTGCAATAATAATTCATAAAATTGCCGTCAAGTTTGTACATATACATGCAAGTGTTTGTGGAAAAGCAAACAAATCCGGTTGTAACGGTGAATGTTGCATTTTTTTTCTGGCTGTCGAAGCAAATGAATAGTTTTCATGCATTAATTATAATGGAATGTGTGTGCGTGTGCGTGTGTGTGTGTGTGTGTGTGTGTGCATTGCTATGAATCCTCTACAGACTACCGAGTATTCTGTTTGTCGTTCTTCAGTCGCTTGTGCAGATGAATATTCAAATCTTGGAAGATTTGCCGAAATGACTTCGTGTAGGGCGATTTCAATTGTAGATTTGGTGTAGTTTAATGCAGGATATTTACTTTTTTTATGTAAGAACAATTTTTTTGAGTAATCGGCTATCGAAAAACCGCTCCAAAATGGGGATACTCAAATCTTGATCAATTGTCTGTTTTCAAATATGTCCGCCCGTTCGTTCGATATCGGGACGAGTCATGAAAATTTGTCTAAAATCACTTGCGAGCAACATATATGCATATATATGCATAGGTATATAACTGTCGTTGATTTGCGACGGGCTTAACCAAATGTTTTATTATTGTTGTTGTGAAATATACAACAGGGGTCGATGTTAAAGTGTGAGATGGAAATGTTAACCCTCAACTGCATGAATTTTTCCCAGGACTGGGAGTACTGGTACTTGTTGATTTTTGGCCATATATAACGAAAAAAATATTCATAATCCTAGATTCCTCATGGTTAAGTCAGGAAATGCGATTTACATAAATCGGAGAACAATCAAATCCATTGTTTAAAAGTGTCAAAAATTTGTCTAACGTGTGATCCAAATAATTTATTTTGTCAATTTTTCGTTTTCGTGCACATTTTTATTTATAACTCACCAATCGTACTACATAGACAAATAGCGCCAAGGACAAAAATGAAGAAAAAACATTGACAAATGAAAATTCTCCTTGAAGCAATGTGATCCGACGTACGATTCACATTATACAGGCGTTTAAATGATGTCCGTCAAAAGGCGGGCTTATACAGTTGAGGGTTAAGGAGAAACCCTTACGGATTCCAATAAAATTCGCAAATAAATTCAAATTACTATCTCTCTGAATTCGGCTCATTTGTGTGGTGAAAGAAAGTACAAAAGAGCACATTTTTGCTAATTCTTGATGGTACGGTGCGGGGAAAAGTGATAAAATTCAACACCGAGAATATTGCATTTATTATAATCGCCTATTCTTATTGTTAGCATACACAAACGGATCCTGTTCCAGGAGGTTAAATTTCGTTCGTTCGAGTTATAAATAAATTTAATATTTGACAGGCGAGCGTTCCATGTTTATCGCTAATGGCGTTCACTTGACTATTTCTTGTGAGATCTCTTTGTTTCCACCATAGTAAAGTCATGTCAACTTCATTTAAGTAGCGGTTAACATTTATTGGAGTTGAATTCAACGGGATGGCAACAACAAATTCTCCTTCATCGGTTTTATTATATGTATATACCACTGCATGTATACAATGAATGTACAAAATTGAGTAGCGAAACCAGTCACAGTCGCTATCGCCGGTACGTTTAATAAGAAAAAAATGAAACATTCATCAGTTCAATATATGGCGAACAAAAGTTTGACATTTTGTCTTTTTTGCCGACACAAATGAGCTAATTAAAATTAAAAGCACACCATGCCACCTTATCATCGAGAACCAATTTAACAAATTTAAATGACAGGATACCGTTCAAATTGCGTTTCAACCTAGCGTTTCTTCAATTCTGTTATTGTTTTCTAGTGATATTTTCGTGTTGTTGGCCCAACACCATCTGTTCACCAAACTCTGTGCAAAGTTGGCTTAAAATTTGCACGAGAAATCAAACAACACGCAAATTATTTTTGACTCGTGCCCCTTTCTAATGCTGGACTTAAATGTGCTTCGGTCATGAACTGCGAGCATTATGTGCTTTCACTTGATTGTGTGTCATGGTATCGTAGGCACCCAGCGTTTGAATAAAAGAGCGCAACACTCAACTCATTAACCCTTCTTATTTAGACGATGTCAACAACATTTATCGTTGCCACACTTTTCAACTCATATTAAAAACAATCAAACGTGCAACTCTTTCAAACGATTGATCAACAACAGCCATTTAGAATATTCATCAAATTTTGTGACGCATAAGAAATGGCGGAGTGTTTGTTGGTTGGAAAATAATTGCCAATTATTAATTGGCAATTTCTTGGTAACAATTAACGACTAAAAAAGGGTTCGTCAATTGCCTTTTAGATAATTTAGGAAATACCCACACTACGATCCAGAAACCAACAGTGAATCGTCTTTTTCAATACGAATAGCGAATCTTCCGTATACGTAACGAGCAACAAAAAAATTCAAGTTTTTAAACGCTTTAATTGCCGTACATAATGTGAGAAGATCCCACATTAAAAATTCAATTTTAAGCGATTCCCAGCTTACTACAATCACTTATGCAAGACAAAGTTAATTAAATGCATTATACTTTAGCATTTGAATACAAGCTTGGTAAATACGTAAAACTTTTGTCCGACTAGTCTGTTTACTTCAACGAAAACAATATTCATTTGAATGATGAAGGTAAATTCTATGTAATGCTACTATTTAACGACAGTGCACCACTAATTTTTAGAAAAATGAATTTTTCATAAGTTTCATTCTCTGATTTGCTTAAGCTTATTTTCAATCTACAAACCAACGTTGCTAGTAATTATCCTTGAAATCGGCTTTGGCCGACTTATATGTTGACACAAAATCATTAAGATTATAATGTTGTACAAACGGTAACATTTTCTTTTTCGACTGAAAAAAAAAGTAAGATGAAGGGGAGCAAATAGCCATAATGTACCGTTAGTTTTTGCTTCCGAATCACTGAAATTAAAAGTGTTTCAGTCACAACAACAGGCTGAGAAGTGAAAATTGAAACTTTATGGTACTAGACGACGGCAGCACAAAAGACCATTTCACACAACAAGTCGTATATGTGCCGCACAAAAAATCCAAATTCCTTAACATTGTAGAGTCAAAAAGTAGCATTATCTAAAATACTTGAGTAGTTTTGTATGACTTTACGGCACCAGTTCATGTGCTAAAAAGGAACAAAAAAATCATCTCTGGATCCGATTCCTATGTGAAAAACATGTTCGCTACATTATTTTGTTGTTCAATTTTTCGTGCAGAGTGTAAATCTTCGTTTGGATCGCATTCCCGGTGAACCGTTCAAAATGTTCTTTGTCAAAATCCCGAATCAATGTTGTTATTTTTTTGGCAACAATTCAACTAACGAAAATGCAATAAAGAGTTGCAAAATGGATGTGCTCATGTCGTTTTCAATACACGCTCATATGGTGGCCGGTGTACAGACGACAACCGAAAGCCAAGTGAAGAGCAGAGAAAAAAAATTGGAAACAATCCATTTTATTTTCGTTAAGTTCAACATGTATTCGTATACAACATCAGCATCGTGTGTGTCTGTAATGGCTGGTTGGTTGAGTCGTATATAAATCTAAATTTACTTGGTGAAATGCTGGGGATAAAAAGCAGGGGGGAGAAAAAGAACAACCAACATTACAAAATGGAAAATACGGAAGAACTATTAAATTAGTGGCAGTGAGCCACACGAAGCTACATTAGAGACTGACCAAACCAACACATTATATGCAGTAAGCAGACGTAACAGATGTCGGTTGAATTCAATTAATCTATTGAGTACTTTTTGCCATTTTATCCGTCTACAGGGACCGAAAACTCCGAATGATAAATGAAATCGCATAAATATTTTTTCAGACGAATAATATAGATTCATGAATATACACACGAGAACTGCATCATTTGCAAGAAATTTCACATGGTTTTAGCACGAATGCGGTGCACAAATGACAATGGCTTTTTTTACTTAGAAGCTTTAAAAACAACAAAGTCAATTTAGCCTGAGCGAATAAACCAACGAACGAAAAAAAAACCGAACCATTGACTAATCTCATGAATGATTTCAAGTTGGTCCAACAATGTAAATAGTTCGTGCGGTCTCACTTTTGTCAGTTTTCAACTTAATTACGACTAATTATATGTATATAGAATTTCCCTCCGTGTTGCACGCTGTCTCACTCGTTCATTGAATTCAATTTACTTTTAATTGAAATTTATTGGAAATGAAAACAATTTCAAAACGATTTCAAGTTAAATGAAATGTTTGGGCATCGATCCCATTTAATCTTTCTCTCTCCGCCAGTTTCCAAGCCACATGATAGAAGGAGAAAAAAACAAGACCACAGAGTGTTGCT